TGGTAGATAACAACATTATATATATATATATATATATAGGGAATAATTCAGCTAGTAACTGTGAGACAGCCTGATGGGTCACCATGCTCGTAAGGCTGGTGCAAAGTGGTAACATACATGGGGATTGACAGTAGGATCTGTATGTGTGTGTGCTCAGGAGGAGATTGTGGAGCGACGGCTGCCGGCTGACATCCCGGCCGAACATTCCGGCCATAGGATCCTAGTCAAGTGCTCAGCACTGAAGCTTGAGTTGGAGGTGGAGCCACACTTTGGCATCATGGCACTGTATGATGCAAAGGAAAAGAAAAAGGTAACCAAGATATTCGGTGCAGCTGCCCTGAAGGGTAAAGCTAGAGGGCAGGGTGTCGGGGACAGTCTCAGGGAAGGTAGGTTTATTGATAGACTTCATGTGTTAACGTTGCTTCAGAGGTTTGCTTGCTGAAATTTAACGTGTGTTCTATTGTTCGATTCCATAGTTTGTCATGATGGTTGTCTGTATGCTATATGGACAATAGTATTTACTGAATGCAAAAATATTTGTGGGAAATGTTTTAAATATTTGGTTAATGTAACGGTTTCCTCACAAACCTGTTATAGTATCGTTTTTAAACAATTGCAATCAGTAACATGAAACTTATGAGTCACTGAGTGTTATTACTGTTAGTAAAACGAAGCGTTTCTTTGTCTGACAGTTTTTCGTTCATGTATTACATGTCATTTTGAACACTCATCATCGTTGTTGTCTGCGTTCGTTTCTAGATATCGGAGAATTTCTATTTCGATCTGAACCCGGAGCCGATAAAGAAGATGTTAGCGGCGCACGTGCCTCACCAGGATTTCTCCACACTCAGCCGCTCCTGCATCTTCAACATCACCTACCCATCACCCGACATATTCCTCGTCGTTAAGGTAGGTGTGCGTCCCAGGCTGTTAGGATCACTCGCAGAGAGGGGAGAGGGAAGGGGGGAACTGGAGTAGGAGCAAAAGCGAGAGCAAGGGTGAGAGAAAGATAGAAAGGGAAAGAAAGGACAGCTGAAAGAGTCTATGCAGGGTTCTTATGCTTCTAACATTACTCTTTATTAGCTGATACGGCATTGTATATTATTTACGACCAAGTAAATAAAAAACAAGCAGCAATGACATGAGCATAATATTATGTTGTGTTGTAATGTTTACAGCTAGAGAAGATATTGCAACAAGGAGATATCAGTGAGAGCGCAGAACCGTACATGAAAGACGATAAGGTATGCGCAAACACAACATAGTTTTTTCATTATTAGTAGTATTCTTATGTTACATCTCTTTTAACGAAGCCTTGGTCAGCAGGTTTTCATTTAATAGACATGAAAAATTATTTGTTCCATAGTTACTGTATAATTAGTATTAGTAAGTGCAGTATTGATCAAGAAAAAAATTTATCGAACTTTAGTGAAGGGCAAGTACCAACAGTAGAGTAATGAAAGTTCGTAAATATGGAGTAGCCCACCAAGTTTATTGAGTGTTAAGTCACTTTATATTCGCTATCTATGTGTATTTCGTGAACATTTTATGCCTATTATGCCTGAAACATGGGTTAGAAGTGAATTGGTAAAGGTGCAAACGTACCCTAGTAATTTCATTAGTATATATGTAGTGATAGAATTGGTTGAGGTAGGTGCAGATTAGGTAGATATGCTTCATTAATGCTGTTACTAACCAGCAATGCATCTCTGCAAGTTGCCTATTAACATTTTTCAACGAATGTTTCGCTCAGCGGACAAGCCTCAAGAACGCATCTTGTCCATTGAAAGAGGTATGATAGTGCCGCCACCGCTTGCATTCTTGCCGACTTCGGCACAAGCTGATCATATAAGTGCTATACCAAGAAAATCGTTATTCACATCTATGATAATGTTCAAGGTGGTCTGTTGTCAGAGAGATTATGAGTAGTTACGACGATTAATTAGTTAGACTTATGACGACGATCGTAACTCTGCGATGTTGTTGTCTTCGTAGCACTTGTGTGCGCAAAAGTGACAACATCCTGAAGTGAACTTATCATTTATATGCTTATACTCATGCTCTTATATAACCTATATATACTTGTATACTTAGATTTACTTTTATTCTTATATTCTTGAACTGATGTACTTATGTTGTAAACCATTTGTGTTATTTCTGTTAACGGGCCCTGCATGATTAACTGTTACATGTCATTAATTGTGATAAATTGCCAAAGCATGCATTTGAATATGTCATATGGGACAAATATGATATATAAAACCGCTACTTACTTTTATACTTTTTATATAACTATTTATTAATTATTTAACTACTTATTATTATTATTTGCAGTTTATTAAGTATTTGTAAAATTGTTGTAATTGTTTCGTGCGTTTCTACATGCCGCAGCGTGAGAAGGTGTGAGCGAACGCGCAGTTCTACTGATCATTTAATTCATGTATTTTATCATTTAATTCATGGAATCGTTGTAATTGCTTCGTGCGTTTCTGCGTGTTGCAGCGTGACAAGGTGCGAGCGAACGCGCAGTACTACTGCGAGCGACTGGGTCAGTACTGCATGCCGTTTGCGTGGACGGCGATCTACCTGACGAACATCGTGAAGGGAGTGGCGAGTCTGGAGCGCGACAGCGACAGCGACGCTGGCAGCATCGCCTCCAGCAGCCTCGGTAAGATGTCGTCGTCGCCGCCGTCGTCGTTATCATTGTCGTCGGTCGTGCGGAATGTCTAACGTTAAAGCGCATTCATTCCGCGTTTCGTAGTAATATAAGCTCGGCATGTATGCTGTGTATTTTACAGCGTGAGACTAACGCAATATACACTCTGTAACATCCATGCATTTGGTCCTCATCTTATCTCTCCTGATACTGTTACTCATGGGCCTGATACTTTCAAAATAATAATATTTAGTAAGACTCCCGTGTGAGAGTAAATATATTTTGTGATGAATCCACGTGTTTCACTTTTGCTAATAAGTTTCGAGAGCTAGTTTACGTCATAGCAGCGACGAACGACATGTAACGCCTCCCTCCTTACTCCTTCCTCTCACAGAGAGGAACGACATGTAACGCCTCCCTCCTTACTCCTTCCTCTCACAGAGAGGAAATCCGTGCCAAACTTCGACAGCTTCAAGCAGGGCAAGTCCGGCAGCACGGCGTCGTTGCCACGGCGAGGCTCGCTCGAGAGGCTGAGGAGCAGCGGGTCGGAGAAGAGGAGGAGCTGGTCGCCGGAGGAGGCGAGCGCGAACCTCGAGTGCTTCCGTCCGGTCACGCTCACCGTGTCCAGCTTCTTCAAGCAGGTGCGAGGTCAGGGTGCAGGCTCCAGCCGTGTGCTGGTCAGCTAGTGCTGAAGGTGGGGTTCTCCCCACGCGGGTCTGTGACGCATGTCGGTGTCCGATGTGCGTTCAAAGCTGAAGCGTGCGGGGGGGGGGGCGTTGTCAAAAACAACATCAGTTTCAACATTACTCTTAACGTTAACTTCCTTTCGTAGACTGTCGACGGGATTCTATTTCATAGAGTTTTGAGGAAATTTGCTAGGATTGTTACATTTTAACTTTACGATGTTTCTAGTAGCGGTCTAAGAGCTAAAGTCATGTGAGAGAAACATTATATTATATTATGTTATGTTTGCCGCAGGAATCGGAGAAGCTGTCGGATGAGGATCTGTATAAGTTCCTCGTTGACCTCAAGCGACCCACGTCTGGACTGAAGAAACTCAAGTGCATCCCGGGTAGGTTATGAGTGTGTACCTACTACCTTGCTCCTGGGCTATGGCATCTGGCTTACTGTCCTTCTACCGTTTCCACTAGATCTCTGTTCCACCGAGGTAGTATGCGTTTTTCAAAAGTTACGTACGGGTACACTCATTCTAGTGACCGCTAACAGAGATCTGACTGTGTCTCCATGCAGCAGCAGCTGCAGCTCTACCAGAACATGCCATCGTTCATGTTCCACAATAAACCCTCTCCCTCCTCCCTCTCCTCCTTTCCTTCTCTCCTCTTCCGCTCCTCCCTCTCCCCTACTCATCCCCTTCCCCTACTCCTCTCTCCCCCTACTCTTCCTCCTCCCTCTACTCCTTCCCCTCCCCACCTCCTCCCCCTCCCCTCTTCCTCCTTTCTCTTGCCTCACGTTGCTTTCTCTCTGCAGGCACATTGAAGCTGGACATATCTCCGTGTCCGGAGGAGGTGAAGTACTGTCTCACGCCGGAGCTGGCACGGCTAGACCCGTACCCCGATGACAAGGGAAGACCGACGAAGGAGATCCTCGAGTTCCCCTCTAAGGAGGTGTTTGTACCGCACTACGTCTACAGGTGCGTGGTAAACTCACTCCCACAGAATGCATATGTATATGTTGGGGAGAACACATGCACGCATGCATGCGCACACGCATGCATGCGCACACACACGTGCGCATACACGCACGCATGCACACAAACACACAAAGATATATGACTAGCAATATTCATTGAGAGAAAATGTCGCCATAAAAATTTCTTATATTTTCAATTAGTACTATGTATCTAACTATCTATCTATCTATCTATTTATCTCCGACTGAGCCTGCGCGCAGCGTCGAGGCCTCGGTCAGGTTCCTCCTCGTATGGCGGACATGGAGCTGTTACGCTCCTCCTGCTGGTCAGACCGCCCGTCGTCGCCGGCCAGATGAGTATGCGCAGATGTCATCGTGTATACGTTAATTGATTCTTAATTATTTAAATTTAATATTCTTTCATTTAGGAATTTATTTATGTATGATTATTATTATATTATTATATATTTATATTAAATTAAATTTTTTATTTTTTATTTATATATA